GCCCCAGCTTCTGCCAACTTAGCAGTTTGAAAACATACAAATCTAAGCAGATCAATAGGTCCCGCTTCAGTGGGAAGATAACGGCGCTCCATACAGTCATGCCAGCCACATGACCTTGGAGGCATCTACGGACAATGCCTGCTCTTCGGCTTAGAAATGGAGATAAGCACCACCCCCCAGAGTCGGACCAAAACTAGACTTAATGTCAAGGGGAAACCTTTACCCTTTTACGGGGCAAAACCACTGCCTCATTGGTGGTGGATGGTCACATAGCCCAGCGTGCTAACACTGGATCGACACCCCAAGGCATGGCAACTGCCACCCTTCACTCCCTGGCTTCGTTTTGTCTGCAAAACAAAGAGAAAGTCGCCCTAACTGTTCCCGAAGTCTCTCCATTTCCTGCATCACGCTAACTGATGATGCACTGGCATTGGGGAGGGAAAGAGGTTTTCCCTTTCTTTTGCAGGCATAACAGAGTGCAGGGAGGGAAGAGTGGCACTGCCACCCCACCTCCCTGGGCTGTCTGAGCCCAAGGTGTGTGAGATTACTGTAAAGACACAAACCTGGGGTTGTAGGTGGCAAACCTAGATGTCTGTCTTCACAGCCCCCTTACCAAGATCCAGATTTTTGCAGGCATCTTTTTAACCAAAATGTAAACTGCATTACATCCCAGGCTAAACCACATTATCTAATGGCTAATGTACTATCTACACTCAATAATCTGCCAGTGTAGCTGGGCACCTAGTCATTCCTTCCTTCCCATTTTTACTATTGTTATGAACTGTCTCTTTTGCTTTTTTCATGATTTTAAAAAACATCTTTGGTTTGAGAAATACTTGTCAATGCATAGTGTATTCTTTCAAAGGTTTTAGTTGTTCTTCATTTTCTTTTCATGTGTCATATATCCTCATACTGTGTTCACTTATGGACATGTTGTCATTATTTTCTCAACAACTTCTCTTTTTTAAAAGAAGAAGAAAGAGATGACAAGCTTTTGCGTTCCCCGCATAAAATTGCTCTAAACAGATATGCTCTGTTTATTTTAAATGTTTTTTTTTCAAAAAAAATATACTCGATTCAGATTGAAAAATAATGCTGCTTCTTCAGTTGTTTTTCATGGTAGACTCCATGCTTCGTACAGCCACTCAAGTGCTTTCTAAACCTGCCCCATATGTCTGGAAAGCTCAGTGCAGCAGTTTTTTTCAGTGCTAGAGAATGGGACAAAAGAAGAGGATTTGAATTTGAACACTTGCACTTATACAAATGAGTTGATATGTAATTATATAATTGGGTAGTGGAATCAGGATAAATTAAAAATTATTTGAAACTTTATGTTTTTATTTAAAATACAAGTATTAATATTGATGTCCTGTTTTGAATTATTGAGAGTTTGCATTATTTATTTATTTATTTATTTATTTATTTATTATTCGAACTTATATGCCACCACTCACCTGGGGCTCGGAGCGGCTTACAAGAATGGCTAAAATCTAACACAATTTAAAAACAATTTAAAACAATTTAAAAACAGCAATATTGAAAATCAAAAGCCTGTCGAAACAGGTATGTCTTACATGCCCTGCGGAAAGCTGATAAGTCCCGCAAGGCACGGACTTCAGGTGGCAGAGTATTCCAGAGTGATGGTGCCACTGCTGTAAAGGCTCTGCGTCTGGTTGCTGTTAGACGCAAGGTCTTGACACTGGGAATTTCCAATAGATCTTGGTCCTCAGAATGGAGGGATCTCTGGGGTTGGTAGGGGGTGAGGCGGTCCCTCAGGTACATCGGCCCCAGACCATGCAAGGCCTTAAAGGTGAGTACCATCACTTTGAAAGTGATCCGGTGCTCAATTGGTAACCAATGCAGCTGTAGTAAGATTGGTGTTATGTGGCATCTCATCGGAATTCCCGCAAGAAGCCGAGCAGCTGCGTTTTGTACCAACTTGAGCTTCCAGATCACTGACAGAGGAAGGCCAATGTAGAGGGCATTACAGTAGTCCAGTCTTGAGATGACCGTGGCCTGGATCACCGTAGCTAGGTCGTCCCTGGACAGGTAGGGGGCCAGCCGTCTAACCTGCCGCAGATGAAAAAAGGCGGTTCTGCTAACAGCGGAGACCTGGGCCTCCATTGTCAGCAGAGGGTCCAAAAGGACTCCCAGACTCTTTACCAATGATGACGGGCGTAGCGCCTCGCCATCCAGGGTAGGCAGCTGGATATCCCCACTGCCCGGTCACCCAGCCATAGGATCTCCGTCTTTGCTGGATTCACCCTCAACCTGCTGGCACGCAGCCATCCAGTAACGGCCTCGAGGCACTGATGGAAACAATCGGGTACAGAGTCCGGTCGGCCTTCCATCTTCAGCACCAGCTGAGTGTCATCGGCGTACTGATAACACTCAAGCCCAAAACCTCGAACCAGCTGAGCAAGTGGTCGCATAGAGATGTTAAACAACAGAGGGGAGAGAATGGCCCCCTGAGGAACCCCACAAGATAGAGGGGACCTCTCAGAGACCAGGTCTCCCCTCTCCACTCGCTGTCCACGGTTGTGAAGAAAGGAGGACAGCCAATTCAAAATCTGTCCCCCTGACTCCAGCAACAGCAAGGCGGTGGGTCAAAAGATTGTGGTCGACTGTGTCAAATGCTGCTGTGAGATCCAATAACACGCCCTTCTCACCCCGGGGGGGACTCAGGGCGGCTTACAAAGGAGGCACAATTAGATGCCCAAATCACACAACAAACAATACAAAATATAACAGTTCAACAATTAAAATGAAACATCAATACCTATTAAAATCATAAAAACTATCTCATGTCAGAGTCCATATATCAGAGTCCATATATCCATTCCATTCCATTGTCCTTGTCTATCGATAGGTCCTTTAATCAGTTGTCAGCATGGCCAAAAGCTTGGTCCCACATCCAGGTCTTTAGTTTTTTCCTAAACGCTAGAAGGGAAGTCGTCGATCTGATCTCCCCGGGGAGTGAGTTCCACAGGTGGGGGGCCACCACTGAGAAGGCCCTGCTCCTCGTCCCCGCCAACCCCGTGATAGTGGCGGGGTCGAGAGCAGGGCCTCCCCAGAAGATCTTAGACTCCGAGGTGGGACGTAGAGGGAGATCCGTTCGGACAGATACACTGGGCCGGAACCGTATAGGGTTTTGTAGGTCAAAACCAGCACTTTGAATTGTGCTCGGAATTGGATCGGCAGCCAGTGGAGCTGACGCAACAGGGGGGTGGTGTGCTCCCTGTACGCCGCTCCAGTGAGCCGACTGTGTCAAATGCTGCTGTGAGATCCAATAACACAAGCAGCGCTGACCCACCCTGGTCAAGCTGGCATCGAAGGTGATCCGTGATGGAGACCAGCACAGTCTCTGTTCCATGCCCTGCACGGAAGCTGGACTGAATAATCATGATCAGAATGATTAATTCTCTAAATATCAGGTGATTATTAAAAGCTCTTTGTATGAAAGTGCCTGGAAATATATTTAATTAAAAGCAAATCTGCTTTTTTTGTCATAACACAAAGAAATGTTGGGTTGCAGGTATTTGAGACAGAATCTTAAAGGATGTAATTCTACCTTTGGGATATTTTTTAAAGCCATTCCATGATGTCCTTAATTTAATTAAATTTGTCTTCATTTTTGAAAAGTTATTAAAAATATTGAGATAAATAAGTGCTTGCTCATCCAGTTAGTTACACTGGATTAAAGTAATTACTGTCATGATGTGGGGGAGGAGAAAAAAGTCAGTAAAAATCCCAAAATGATTTTAAAAAGTGGTTTACCCAAACAGTTTTATCTTGCGAAACAATGGCTTCAAACTACAAGAAAGGAGATTCCATCTGAACATGAGGAAGAACTTCCTGACTGTGAGAGCCGTTCAGCAGTGGAACTCTCTGCCCCGGAGTGTGGTGGAGGCTCCTTCTTTGGAAGCTTTTAAACAGAGGCTGGATGGCCATCTGTCAGGGGTGATTTGAATGCAATATTCCTGCTTCTTGGCAGGGGGTTGGACTGGATGGCCCATGAGGTCTCTTCCAACTCTTTGATTCTTTGATACATACATATTAAAACAGATTTCTATAAAATACATAATATGGTTTGATTCTATGATTCTATCTATGTGTGGGGAGGTGAATTTAACAAATTTACAAGGCCATAAAAAAATCTCCAGCAAAAGCATGCGGGGAATGCGGAAAGTACTTCATCAGTGTTGCAGATGGATGGTGAAGCGACAGCTCCCCTGGTGGCCAGAAAATTGGAATGTTAAATAGCCTCTGACTGTCTGTCTATATGTGTTGTGTGTTTACGGCATTGAATGTTTGCCATGTATGTGTACATTGTAATCTCCCCCCCCCCCCGAGTCCCCTGCAGGGTGAAAACTGTGGAATATAAATACTGTAAATAAATAAATAAATAATCCTGCCATTTATAGTTAGTTAAGAATCAGCACTCTAGCAGAGAAGACTAAAGACCTTGTAAAACTATAGTACTGAACTCTGTCAGTTAAAATGGTGTCCAACTGCATCAATGTAGATGCAACCTTAGATATTTTTCTGCACCAGTTTTGGTGGTCAGATTCCTTGAGGTCTGAATTCATGTGAGAGGGTTCTTCATATCAGCTACTTGGAAGCATTTTTCATTTTATTCAAGCAAGGGTGGGTTTTTGAATCGGATAAATCTCATCACCATCACATCATTTTCAAATGAAGTCTTAAAAATTAAAAAAGTAATTCCAGAAAAGGGTCTCAAAATGGTGGGGTGAGTTAATTATCAAGAAAATCTGTGATATTTACAATGTGTCTCAATTATTTTTCATAACAAACAGCTGAACATGTCATTGGACTTCAAAAATGAACTGCTTTTATTAGTATCTGCTGTTGAATTTAATGTTAGAATGAGGTTGTAAGAAATGAATTGTGCAGTAGATATTCTATATGATTGCTTTTCTTCTGACACTAACTTTTTAAAAAACCTTCTGTGTTTGTAACTGCCATCTCTGTGGATTCAGCTTCAGAAACGGGAACGCTCCTGCAGAGCCTATGTCCAGGTATTTTCCATTTTTTCTCTATATATACTTTAAAATTGTTTTGCTTTGTGTTTATTTATTACTACAGCTATTAGCACTGCTATAACACTATCGATAGACATGGCAAAGCATCTCTATTCATAGCAAATTTACATTAAATAATGAGGAAAACAGTAGAGAGAGTAGACAAGACAAAAATGTTCAAATATTTTGAAGACAGAAAGAAATTGCACTATAGCAGGGGTAGGGAACCTATAGCAATGATTTAAAAAATCCCATATTTAACCATTAATTGCCTCATTGACAGTAGTCCGTTTCAGTAAAATGTACACAATGGTCTATGTGATTTTTTTTCTTTGGAAAATTCAAGGTTTTTGTTTTTTTACATAATCATAATTTTCAGAAATTATTAGTTCTTTTTCATGGGTGAACTCTCGAGCTGCAGACAGCTGATAACACCCCAGACTAGCAAAATATTGGCATGTTTTCAGATTTGTATGTAGTGTAGAAGCCTTCTTTCAACATTAGCCTTTGTACTCAGTTCCAGCACTCTGGGCACATGCTTCTCTGTCTTTTCTAGATTAAATTTCAGTTCATATTTACACTCATCCAGATCACAGCCATCTAAAAACAACTGTTGAAGGATTTCCCTTTATCTATGGATCTGGAGGCAGTGAGAAGTTGAGCTGGGACTAATGTTGTGCTGGGACTGAATGCACAGTCCCACACATGAGTTTCCAGGGACCTTATTTCCAGTTTCAGGAAATCATTCAACATGAGAGATCGATGGAATTAGCACAACACTTTTCAGAATAAAAATAGGAGTCCCCTACTCTCGTATCAGGAGTGACTTAAGAAACTGCAAGTCACTTCTGGTGTGAGAGAATTGGTCATCTGCAAGGACGTTGCCCAGGGGACGCCCAGATGATTTGATGTTTTATCATCCTTGTGAGAGGCTTCTCTCATGTCCCCGCATGGAGAGCTGGAGCTGATAGAGGGCGCTCTCCCTGGATTCGAACCTGCAACCTGTCGGTCTTCAGTCCTGCCGGCACAGGGGTTTAACCCACTACGCCACTGGGGGCTCCCCCACTAGCACCTTCTGAACAATAATATAGCCATGTATAAATATGTGAAAGGAAGCCACAGGGAGGAGGGAGCAAGCTTGTTTTCTGCTTCCCTGGAGACTAGGACACGAAACAATGGCTTCAAACTACAAGAAAGGAGATTCCATCTGAACATGAGGAAGAACTTCTTGACTGTGAGAGCCGTTCAGCAGTGGAGCTCTCTGCCACAGTGGAGGCTCCTTCTTTGGAAGCTTTTAAACAGAGGCTGGATGGCCATCTGTCAGGGGTGATTTGAATGCAATATTCCTGGTTCTTGGCAGGGGGTTGGACTGGATGGCCCATGAGGTCTCTTCCAATTCTTTGATTCTATGATAATATAGTGTCTTCCCCCCGCCCCACAAATTTTTCTCCTGACAAAGTTGATCAGCAGAGTATCCAAACCAGTTGTTGTCCTAATACTGCTGTGGAAATAAGACTGAAACGGGTAATGCATTCAACAGTGTAATAATAATAATAATAATAATAATAATAATAATAATAATAATAATAATATTTATTTATACTCCGCCACCATCTTGCCAAGGGGACTCGGACGGCTTACATGAGGCCAAGCCCAACAACACATCAGTAAAAACAAAAACACCAAGCAAATGAAACAGTACAATTAATATAACTCACATATAAGCAATAACACAGAGAATCTAAAACCTTAAAATCTATTATTTTATGTGGCTTAGCCATGTCTGAAGCTGTGAGCATCTTGATCTTTCCCCCTTTTCAATTCTGCATTTCTGGTGTTGATATTGTATCTGGATTTGAACTTTAAAATGGGCAAATTATGAAAAATCTGCCATATTCCCATATGATAGATTTCTCATAATGCTCTTAATGAAGATTTCTCTATACCATCATCTAAATTAATATATCGTGTTGCATTTGCAGTAAATTTTATCTGTCATGAGAAAAAACCCTCTAAAACAAGAAAGAGCAACTCTTGAGATACTCTGTTTCTTGTAGTGGTTTGAATGTTTGAACGATAGAAGACCAGGGTCTGACTCCTGCACAACCTTGGACACCTGCTGACTGTCCTTGAACAAGTCATACTCTCTAAGCCTCAGGGGAAGGCAAAAGCAACTCCCCTGTGAGCAAATTCTGTCAAGAAAACCCTGTGATAGCTTCACCTTAGGGTTACCATATGTCAAAAACGATTTGAAGGCACACAACAAAAACAACAATTCTTTGTAGTCCAAGAGCTGGATTTCAGTTAGGGAAGGACCATGAGTATACGTTTCAGCAGTGAATGGGGCTAACAGAACTGGGACAGATGAAAACAGAAAAGGTGGCCGGATGTAAACCTACCAATTTACCTCAGTAGAACAGCTTTCAGGTATACAAAGACCTTACCATTTCATAAACATAGCCTCCTTTGCCATACAAAACCTTGCCAGTCTGCAAACTTGAGCTTCTAAACTGTGCAAATCCTTGTCTAGTTACATAACTCAGCTCCTACCTTACTTCACTTCACTTCACTTTATTTCTTAATTAGTCGCTCTCCACCAAGGTGCTCCGAGCGACTTACAATCTAAAATAGCATTTACACAATATAAAAACATTCAACATAAAAACATTCAACAGTGACTATTTGGCAAATTAGATCTGATTATTTAAATGCACAACCAAACAGCCAAGTCTTGAGCGCCTTTACAAAAGGTCGCAACTCCGACATTGCTCTAATGTATGGAGGCAATGAGTTCCACAGAATTGGAGCATAGGTCGAAAAAGCTCTATGCCTTGTAGCTTCCAGGTGTACCTCCCTAGGGCCCGGTATGTATAGGAGATTTTCCTGGGTGGATCGAGGTGACCACTGATGGGAAAAGGAATGAGGTGGTCCCTAAGATATAAAGGTCCTTGGCCATTTTGAGCTCTAAATGTCAGGATCAGTATCTTGTAAGAGATCCGATGTTCTATTGGTAGCCAATGCAGTTGTTGCAGAATCGGTGTAATATGGGATCTTATAGATGATCCCACTAGCAGCCTGGCCGCTGCATTTTGGACCATCCGAATCTTCTGGGTTGTTGACTTCGGAAGGTCGGCATAAACAAGACCCTCTGTCTGCAAGCCTCTGCTCATTTTCCATGTGAAATCTCTAGAATTAATTTCACTAGAATTAATTTCACTGAAAATGTGGTTTAGTTGTCCCTAAAGGCTTCTTATCAACCAGAAACAGAACCCGAGGCAGATATTTTGTAGACTAAAGGTGCATCTACACTGGCCAAGCCAACTTGAGTGACCGCAAAATGCACACTCCCAATGGGAAATGGGAATCAGCGCATTTAAAAAGTCACAAGAAATTTTGATGTTAACTATATCATGTGCTGCAGTTGATCTCTGTGAATCCCAGATCCAGTATGATCTGAGATACACTCACTCACCCCTGCTGAAGTGCAATAAAGAATCCCAAATGGTGTTGAAAGACATCCTCAGGGTATGGCTGGGCAGTGGGGGGGGGGGGGGGGTGTAATCAACAGCCCCCGGTTGCGCAGTGGGTTAAACCCCTGTGCCGGCAGGACTGAAGACCGACCGGTCGCAGGTTCAAATCCGGGGAGAGGCGGATGAGCTCCCTCTATCAGCTCCAGCTCCTCATGCGGGGACATGAGAGAAGCCTCCCACAAGGATGATAAAACATCAAAATCATCCCTTGCAGACGGCCAGTTCTCTCACACCAGAAGCGACTTCTGACATGACAAAAAAAAGGGGGGAGGGGTAATTGATTACCTCCACTGCTGTCTCTTTCCCCTTTTTTCAGCCCCTTTGCCTCCAGTGTACTAGTGTATATCTGTCCAGAAGATTGGGTGGGAGGGCATCCTTTAAAGCAGTCTGAAGCAAAGCTCCATTGGCAAAACCAGTTCCTCTCAAACTAGCTCTAGTGTTAATGTAGAAGGAGACAAAGAACAGTAAATTATTATCTATTTTTGAATGTTTTTAACATTTTATTCAAGAGAACAGAAATACAAATGCAGTCCAAGAATAGCTAGAGAAGGGAGAAAGGGGAGAAAGAGGAAGGGAAAGAAAAGGTGGGGGGGGGGGGGGGAGAAAGGGAAGAAGAGGAGAAGGAAGAAAGGAGAGAAAGAAAGAAGAGAAAATGGGAGGGAAGATTGGCCACAGCAGTGTGTGACGGGTACAGCTAGTATACAAATAAACAAAAAGATACACTAATTTACAAAAAAAATGAACACCCCCCCCCCAGACATAAACAAGCAAAAAAGGAGAAAAATGGTTTTTCTTGGTCTGTAAAACTAGAATTACAACCTATTTAAAACAGTCATCCTAACCCATACAAACCACACTACATAAAATAGTAAGAACATCGCTGTAAGTTTCACACTCATTGCCTGCTAGTTTTTACTTCTTACTTTCTGCTCTCTTAAAATATTGTCATCTATCCACCCTTCTACTTTTAATAAGGCTCTCCTAAATCAGAAATCCGATTGTTGAAGCTTGTCCCCACCTTTGCTATAGAAAAATGATCAGTGAGTCCCAGTCTTTCCTAAAATTAGTCACGGATTTGTCTGTGATCAACATTGTCCATCCCAGCTAATTCAACCATCTTCATCAGTCATTATCTATGAGTTGGGATATCTGGTTCTTTCCATCTCTGAATAATTATCAGTGCAGTAATCATACATAGAATCATAGAATCATAGAGTTGGAAGAGACATAATAATGATGATAATAATAATAATAATAATAATAATAATAATAATAATAAATCTTTATTTATACCCCACTAACATCTCCTGAGGAGCCCCGGTGGTGCAGTGGGTTAAAGCGCTGAGCTGCTGAGCTTGTTGATCGAAAGGTTGCAGGTTCGATTCCGGGGAGCGGCGTGAGCTTCCGCTGTCAGCCCTAGCTTCTGCCAACCTAGCAGTTCGAAAACATGCCAATGTGAGTAGAACA